CCCCCCCCGCCATGCAGAGCGGAGAGATGCAGGGACTGTGGTTAAAACCGTGGCAGCTGCGTGTGCCTGAGGGTCCCAGCAGGGGAGGGTCCGTGGGCCGGATCCGGCCAGGCCGTATTTTGCCCAGGTCTGTGCTAGATTCTTTGCTATGAGGCAAGCGGCTCGTTCTCACTTCCCAGGGGCTCTGGACCTGCAAGGGAATCACAAAATCTGACTGTGGCATGAACACAGAGCACGTTGTCCCCAGCCCCTTTCTGCCGGAGGCCCCACGACCAGCACTGCCAGCCCCAGGCCAATCAAGACCTGGGGGCAGAGGAGGGGGTAAAGTCGTTCGTTCTCACTTCCCAGGGGCTCTGGACCTGCAAGGGAATCACAAAATCTGACTGTGGCATGAACACAGAGCACGTTGTCCCCAGCCCCTTTCTGCCGGAGGCCCCACGACCAGCACTGCCAGCCCCAGGCCAATCAAGACCTGGGGGCAGAGGAGGGGGTAAAGTCGTTCGCTGTTCAAAGCGGCTGGTGTCTCCCTCCAGGTGCCGCGCACCCCAGGGGATGGGAGGGACCCACCAGCCGCTTTGAACAGCGGATGAATTTGCATGTTCGTCTGACCCCAGGTCTGGACTGGCTTTGAGGAGGGGGAGAGGTAGGGAGGCCATGGGCCGGATCAAACGACTTGGCCGGCCGTACCTTGCCCATTCCTGGACTATGGACATAGAATCATAGGGCTAGGCGAAACCTCAGGAGTCATCGAAACCAGCCCCCTGCCTGAAACAGGACCAACCTCAACTCAAGCATCCCAGCCAGGGCTTTGTCAAACCGGGACTTAGAAACCTCTAGGGATGGAGATTCCACCCCTTCCTTAGGGAACCCATCCCAGCGCTTCTCCACCCTCCTAGGCTATGTCTAGACTGCAAGCCTCTTTCGAAAGAGAGCGTCTAGACTGCACGTTGAACTTTCGAAAAAGCGGCTTGCTTTTTCGAAAGAAAGCATCCAGTGAGTCTGGATGCTCTCTTTCGAAGAAGCCCTATTTACATTGAAGAACGCCTTCTTTCGAAAGAGGAACTTTCGAAAGAAGGCGTTCTTCCTCGTGAAATGAGGTTTACCGCCATCGAAAGAAAAGCCGCGTTCTTTCGATTTAATTTCGAAAGAACGCGGCTTGAGTCTGGACGCAGGGGAAGTTTTTTCGGAAAAAGGCTACTTTTCCCGAAAAAACCCTTGAGTCTGGACACAGCCCTAGGGAAATAGCACACATCACCTGAGGACAGGATGCAGATAAAATGTCCTGACACCTTCAGTGACTGCGTCATGGGCCAGCTGGTTCTAGAACCCACAAGATTCAGTTCTTGATTTGAACCCACAAGAGGCCATTCTTGATATAGTCCTAAGTGGAGCACAGGATCTGGTCCAAGAGATGAATGCAGCCGGACCACTTGAAAGTAGTGTCCATAAAACAATTACATTTAACATCCCTGCAGTGGGGAAAAAACCCTCAGCTGCCCAAGAGCGTAGCATTTAATTGCAGAGAGGGGAACTACAGAAAAATAAGGAAGTTAGTTCAACAGAAATAAAAAGGCAGAGAGCCAAAACTTAAGTCCCTGCAGGAAACTTTTCAAAGACACGTTACTAGAGGCTCAACTGAAACGAACACCCCAAATTAAAAACCACAGTCGGAGGAGAACCAAAAAAAGGTGCCACAGTGACTTAACAACCAAATAAGAAAAAGAAGCAGAGAGAGATAAAAAGGCGTTTTTTAAAAAGTGGAAGTCAAATCCTAGTGAGGAAAATCGAAAGGAGCTTAAACTTGAGCAAGCAGAGCCAAGGGAAGTTCATTGTAACACCAGGCCGAGCCCGGCCACTACACGGCCTCTGCTGCCATCGTGTGGCGACCTCACCTGTAGCCGGTGGAAGAACCCCTGGAACAAAATGTCTCTTCTGGTTCCCCTGCCTTTAACAGCGAGATTCCTGCAGAGGGTCTAGGGGTGTGAGGAGGACACTGGCCAGTCACTGGGCACCCAAATCCCCCCACAGACACCCCATGCAGCCCCCTGTAAATCGCTCCCGTGCCCTCAGTTTCTCCAATATAGAACTGTCCCTATGAACTCTGAGCTAAAGCAAACCCTTCATGGTACAAAGAACCAGGAGTCCGGACTCCTTGTTTCTGCTGAAGCAGACTGACCCAGCTCCGTGGCAAAAACTTTCTGATGCATTTCCCAAGGAGGTTAACTATCCTCGCACCTCTCCCACAAATCTGCTCTTCCCTGTTTCACAGGTGCCCGTTTTCTCTTGGCTTTTCCTTCTCCAGTGCCACTTTCGAAAGTGCACTTGAAAGAAGATATGCAAATTCCCATGGAATTTGCATATCCTCTTTCAAAAGTCTAGCGTAGTCTAGATACACCCACACATACTTTTACAATTTATATCTCAATTGAGACATAACCTTGTATTTTCCATTTCCAATCAAAGCTTTCCAAGCGTCCTTTCGTATCCCATTTACATTTCTTTTTCTTTTAATTTAGATAACCAGTTTTGATCTCATGGGAAGTACAGTACTATAATGCTGTACACAGACTGTAACAGTCATTTCTGGAAATAATTTTAGTGTAAAACTGGTTCTCAAAATCAGCTACAAGACAAACTTTCACATATTTATTCTGTTATTCCCCTAAAAATTTGTTCACTGAGAATTCTAACTTTCAATGTTTTCTTTAAAAAACCACTGACTATAACACATCTTATTGCTGAACGGCTCGATTAAAAGAGAAAAACCACTGACTATAACACATCTTATTGCTGAAAGGTTCGATTAAAAAAGAAAGGTATTCATTTTTGCCTATAAAAGAAAAATAAATCTTTGAAAACAAAGCTTTACGTAAATCCATGTTTTTGTAGAGCAAAAATCACTTTGAAGAATTGAATTTACCCCAGACAAAGATCAGCTGTGAAACTAATTCACTTGTTTTGATCTTTAATTTGTATGCAAAAATGTACGCTTGACAAAGAAACTTCATCATAGTCTCTGGTAAACATTTTTTAATCACAAAGCCAAGACAATTGTTTTTAACTGAAACATTTTTGTATGCTAACTTCACTTTAGCTCTTGGTTCTTACATGTGTCGTGGATAAAGCATTACATATTAACATTCCGGTATTCTCAAAGACAGTAGTACAGCATTGAAAAAAGTATAAAGCAGCTCAGATACATTTAACCCAGCTTTTACAATATCAAAAGCTTGAAAATCAATTTCACCTCAAGTAAAAATATAAACAACCTGAAAGTGATCAACTAATGCAATGCTTCCCAACTTACTTGACCATAGAACTCTTAAAATAAAAAAAACACCAGGGAAAACTGGTTGACCCCTTGAAAATAGCAACCCTGGACGATCACCCGGCTCGCCCGCCCCTAAGACCAGCTCGGAGGGCGGGGTGCCTTTAATTTGTATACAAAAATGTACGTTTAACAAAGAAACTTCAGCATAGTCTCTGGTAAACTTTTTTAAATCCCAAAGCCAAAATTGTTGCTTTTAACTGCAACATTTTTGTATGGTAACTTAATTTAGCACTTGGTTCATATATGTGCCATGGATAAAGCATTATGCATTAAAATTCCAATATTGTCAAATACAGTAGTACAGCATTGAAAACATCATAAAGCAGCTCAGATACATTTAACCCAGCTTTTACAATATCAAAAGCTTGAAAATCAATTTCAAAAAAGCTTGTTTCTCCTCAAGTACAAATATAAACAACCTGAAAGTGATCAACTAATGCAGCGTTTCGCAACTTCATGTAGCCACAGAACCCTTTAAAAAAAAAACATCGGGGAAAACTGGACGACAAAAAAACAACAACAAAAGAACCAACCAACCAACCAACCAACCAACCAACAACAACAACACACGTGCCCGCCTCTAAGACCGTAGAGGCCAGCGGCCCCTTGAAAAATCCTGGGGCTCCGTGGCATACTATTTGGGAAACACTGAACGGAACTGTATATACCAAGTTAAGGTATCAGTGATTGCTACAAATACCACTCCCTCCGAAAGATAAGGTATCAGTGATTGCTACAAATAACGCTCCCTCCGGGATATTATTGAACCATCTATATGTAACACAAAGTCTTCTTCACTGTCATCATAACATTCACTACCCATGTGCTTCATTCCCAGGGCTCCACCTTCATAATTATCCACTGGTCTTTCATACTCTTCTTGGTATCTGTTAATATTGTTTGCATTGTTCCATTGTGGTTCGTCTGGGTCTTCTAAATCATCTATTGATATTAAACTGTTCACTGGATGTTTTATTTCTTTTTTTATAATATCAGGAGCAGAATCCACATCATCTAGTTGGAGAACATCTATTTGAGACTCTTTTTGCGTTTCTGATGGTGAAATGTAGTTCATAGTAATGGAGTCAACACGGAATATCAGTCTTCTCCTATAGCAGATAATTCCAACCAAAACACTTAAAAGTATCAGAAACAGAGCCCCACCCACTGCACTACTGATGATGGTACCCCAGTTTTCTTCCTGAATTGATGTTGGAAAATGCATTAGTTTTGGTTCTGTTGCTAAACCTGCGATGCCATCAGTTGAAGGATGCCATGGAACCGTAGGTGGTCGTGTAGTAGCAGTAGTAGCAGTAGTAGGATTTGATGGAAAGAGGACTGGGGTAGACAAGAAACAGAAAAGGCAAAGAATGTCAATGCAAGCTAAATCAGTAGAAGATTTATAAGAAAGCCAAGCTGATGAATATGTAAATGTGTTTTCTAACAACAGACAATAGCTTTTCATTTTTAAATACTAAGAAGTTTGAGCAATTATGATTTTTTTTAAATATATGTAATAGTTTTTCAATAATTCTGAATTGATTTATGTTTATTTGGGTCTATAGGATAACCAGTATGGGTAAATGCTTTTATAGCACAAAAGCAATCATTGTCAATTTTTTAAAATAACCATGAATTCTCCTGAAAGAATGGAGAAGTTCCTTTTCAGTTTATGTACATTTTATAGTTCACTATTTACAACTAGTTTTATCTCATCCATGGAAGATATTATGTATGGCAAAGAAATACTGTTTGAAAGACTAATACTGGCAAAAGGACAAATAGCATCTTTACCTTTAACTTAAACTTATATTAATCGTTTTAAATTTTGAAGTTGTCCAATGTGCCAAAACAAACTCTTAAAGAATGAAAAACATTGGGTGGTTAAGTTAACAGTAAGTAAAGTACTGATTTTAACTATTCTCCCTCAAACGTGGGCTGTTTCAACAGAATCTCAAAAGCCTAAGTGGGGAACAATGAAGGAACTCAAAGTTAACTTATGTTATGGAGTTCTCTATGAATTTTTTCAAGACATCAGTGTAATAATGCAACTTTAAATTTTAACCACTACTTCAGAGAAAACAATTGAACAAAGTCACTAAAAATCACTTGCTACAGAATGTCATAAATATGACATTTCCAGAATGCCATTTGGTTTTACTCTGTTTTAAGTGGTCTTTAAAAAAGTTTAAGTTTCTTCTCCCCTTCCTAATGGCATACATGATAAGTTTTATCTTGCTCTCTGAAGTTATGCGCAGAAGCCTAACATGGAATCTGCTTCTCGGGTCATCTTAGACCTTTATTTTCCTTCTGATTTTTTAAAGATGGCCTAATATGTGCAAATGGTTTAAAACAAAGTGGTTTCATGATCTCAAATTACAAAATTATACAAAGTATGTTTTTTTAAGTGCTGCATGAATTAGTGGATTCTTACCAGCTGCAAGCTTACTTAAAAATTTTCAGTTGTAAGAACTTTTATCAATTGACTCTGACTTTGGTTTACATTTTAGAGAGAATATTAAAAAAAAACCTACTTACACAATAGAAACCCAAGTATCCAGCTATCTTTAATTCATTTTTAACAGTTTGTTACTAATGAGGCAACTAAACACTGACAGTGAAACTGATGGGAATGTTTAAAGTAGCATTTAAGCTAAACAGCCTGAAATGGTAGTAACTGATCAAACAAAACTAAAAGTAAGATCCAAAAACTTCAGTGCTTCTTACAAAGCGGTATTCTAACAATTGTGTAGAATCTGTTATAAAAGTGTTTCACTAAATTAAAGAATTTATTTTCAGTACACACTTGCTCTAGAATGGTAGAGTTTACTTCTTTATCTTTAGTATGATTACTTAGAACTGGTATAGAATCTCTGATGGATTTTTTAAGTACTATGATTGACACTATCTCCTGGAAATGGTATCAGTGCTATTAATGTAATGTTCACTTCCTTTTGTTCTTCCCAGTTTTATGGTAACTTTAATTGAAGACTGAGTTTTAAACAATCCATTCTATAACATGGCTTAAAAAAGCAATATTCAATTAGACACCTGGTACAATTTTTGACACAATAATTTAACAACGCATGCTTGGATAAGTAGGGAGAAACAACAACTCACCTAATATGTAGATTGTCTTTTGATCACTTTTTTCTCCAATGGAATCGGTCACCTTACACATGTAAGTCCCGATATAATTGTAAGTCAGTGGACTGTTGAAATGCAGAGTATTGTTTAAAGACATTAAACCTTCATGCCATTGCCCATCCAACCTAAATTAGACAATATTTTGAGGCAGTTTAAGCGCTCAGAATGTACATATTAAGTTTTATATGCAAACTGTATTACCGGAATCTGGGAATTGGTTCAAGGATTACCAAAAACACCTACTACTAAGGTTAAGATAATTTAATTATCTAATTTCGAAAGTACTTGACATTTTTAATCTGCACCATAACATAATGAAGAGGAGACAATGAGCCACGTTACAGGTATCATTTTGAAAAGCAGCTTGTATAGTCTTTGTAATTATGGTTTTATATTGTTTCCATGTTGAGCAGTTTAGTCAAGCTAAAACTTGAATGTTACTGAGTTAATCTCCAATTAAATTTCATTAACATCCACTTCATTGGATGTTACAGTCTGCATTAGGTGGGTTTTTTTTAAGATCACATAAGGCCAGGTTGATTAAATTAAGCCTACTTAAAATTAAGAGCATTTACTAACTGGGTAGCATATTTTATTTTGAGTTTAGAAGATTCCAGTGAAGAAATCTGGACTTTTTAAAATTTATTTTATCATTATTAACCATACATTTCAAACAAACAATTTTAAAGATTAAACTACTGGTCTTTTTTTCTTCTTAGTGGTCCAGGAAGCAACTTGAGGATACAAGATTGTATTAAGACTGATCTGTAACGATCATGTCAATGATTATCACAACACTATTTTGGTTTATTGGAGATGCTTAAACACTTACATAATAGTTATTTTCTTTGTTTTAAACAGACCAACCATGTGAAGTTACTTTAAGTTCTTCTTTAAGAGGAAAAAAGGCAAGTTATACATTGGCCCATATGGGCTTCAGGTATCTCCCTCCAAGGGAACATACTTAACATGCAAGACTGCACATAGCAGGCAGGAGGACTCACAATAAAGCCACCCATTTCATAGGACATTCACAAAATGCATGTTTAATCACACACCAGAAAGCTACACAAAATATCACATTGCAACACAAATTGACTTACATTTTGAGTCAGGAAGCAAACCATCTTATGCATCTTATTTCCAGGAAGACACATTGCCGAACATAAGAACGGCCAGACTGGGTCAGACCAAATGTCCATCTAGCCCAGTCTCCCATCTGCTGACAGTGGCCAATGCCAGGTGCCCCTGTGCCTTATCTTTAGGACATGGTAAATTTGATAACTGAAATGACACTTCATGTTTTAGATCATTTCATTCAACAAAGATCCGGTCTTTTTGCCTCTCTATTTTAAATGTACACCCGACTAACAGAGGAGGAAGGACAGACAAGAGACACTGTCAATATCTTACACTAAGCTCAAGAAATTCAATATCACAATCAGCTGCCAAAGACGTTGTTCCATTTATGCTTTTTGGTCTCTATTTTAAATGTACACCTGACTAACAGAGGAGGAAGGACAGACAAGAGACGCTGTCAATATCTTACACTAAGCTCAAGAAATTCAATATCACAATCAGCTGCCAAAGACGTTGTTCCATTTATAAAAATGGATTTATCCTAAAGAACTGTAATTGCTCAGGCTTCAAGAGTAAAAATTATTGTTTGTACTTTCCCACCCCACTTGCTCCTCCTGTTCCCTTTTCCTTAGGAGGGAAACTGTACAGGGCCAATATTTTTCTTTAAAACGTCCACAAATATGAATGCATCTGTCTGATTCACCAATGTGCGACATATCAATAGCAGTCATTGCTAAACAGCATTAGTCATGTGTTGAAACCAGACAAATTATCAGAAATAAAAGGGCTTTGTTTTCACTTTGTCTTACACTTTGCACACCCTTCAAAACTCTGCATTACTCAAACGATAAATGTGTACATAACCAGCAAAATTCATCTTCAGTTTTCATATACACTTACCTGGTGCATGTAATTGCCATGGACAGTGGATATGCATCAGCACTGCAGCGGAGCTGAATATGCTCTCTTCCAATAAACCCGTTTCCATCATACCCGCTTTGTGAAACTTCAGGGGCATCTATAAAATATGTGCAATTTCACATGCAAATACTCCAATGCAGTCTTTAAAAAACATGTGTGCACTGTTTGGAATGATAAGTTTACATGCTGTATTTAACTAACAGTATGGCAGTACTGAATATCCAATGAGTGGTGGGAATTCTACCCGGAAAGCTTAGTAAATTACGTACACAGGTGTCGGTCAGAGCTTTAATGTAAAGCAAACCAGTAGGCTCCATTAATTTTTAGTTACGTAACTGAAACAAGCTGAAATAATTATGTAGTCCTAGCACCAACAATGCCAGGTTTTAGTATAATACAGTTTTAACTTCAAGTGTCCAAATACAGTGAAAGCTTTGTTAACCGGCACTCTGTTAACCAGAAAACTTTGTTAACCGGCATTGCCCCCAGACACAATACTGTAACGTCTTCAGGCGCACAGGCCTGGCTTAATTTACCATGATCGGCTTAACAATTTTTTATGTAAGAAGTACTAATCATCTCTAACTTAAAATAGAAATGTGAGACCAACAGCCTCACATTACAAAATTACCAATATTAAAAACTTGAGTCACTTCGTTTTTCCTAAGTTGATGGGACTCTCAGATAACTGGAAGTTTTAGATAACGGGAACACCACAATCCCCAAGCGTTCCAGATAACACAGGTTTTGCAGCATATCTAATTCAGTGAAATCGAGAAATTATACAGTGTTAAGCGACGAATCGTACGTATGACATGAGAAACTTTTAGCTAATGATTTATGATGTAGTAAGTATATGCACTGTGCTTATGTAATGCTTTTAAACAAGAAACTTGAGTTTATTTTTATTTTTTTTATTTCTTTTCAAAGTGATAATGGTACCAATTGGAATCCCATCTTCCCAACTTTTCAGCCCTTCAGTATTAGTGATCTTATCCCCAGAATCTCATCTTAGCCAGCTGCAGAAAATCGGAGAGTTTTAAAAACACACTTATTATAATTCTTCTATAGCTATCCTTGGGGCAAATTCACAGTGTATTACAAAATGGGAATGCTGAAATATAATTGACACACCAATAGAAAAGCTCTCCTACAGTAAAAAGTAAAGGTAGAGAAGAGTCAGACTCAGAGTAGGACAGTTAGGGTGAGTCCAGGACATCAGGCACAATTACCTCCTCCAAACACAGGTGGCAAAAATGGGGGCGGGGGGTGGCGAGCAAAACTTGAAACTCATCTCTCTTCTCACAGAAGCCAAATCTTTCCAACTTTTACTTTAGTGTTAAGTTATGTTTGAGGCGTATTATGAATACTTATTATTGCTAGCCCAAAAAGGTTATGCTACCAGAGAGACAGACAATTTTTTTGTTATGACCATCTCTCTTCAGCACTATCAATATTGAATGTCACTATCAATATTGTTAGGATAAAGTTTTTTTCATCCCTCTCCAGACTGTGCACTAGTGGAAATCACATGTAGGTAGTAGCAGTACAAAAACTTGTCGTCTTCTCTCAACAGAATTGCCTTATAGTCAAAATTCACTGAATACTATTTATACTTTTTTTT